TCCAATAATTTTTCAGTTATTGATTTCTAGCTTAATGTCACCGTGATCTGAGAGCATACTTTGTATGATTTCTATTATTCATTAAAGTGTGTTTTATGGCTCAGAATGTGGTCTGTCTTTGTGAATGTTCTATGCGTGTTTAGAAGCATGTGGGATTTACTGCTGGTGGATGGTTTGTAAATATCAATTAGGTCGAGGTAATTGAGAATATGTTTCAGATAAACTATATTCTAACTATATTCTTACTGATTTTCTACCTATTGATCTACCAGTGAGTTGGGTCTGACTTGACGGCACATAACAACAACAATCTGCCAGTTACTGACAAGGTGGTAGTGAGATCTCCAAGTATAGTAGTGGACTTGTCTATTTCTCTTTCAGTTCCAACATTTTTTGCCTCATGCATTTTGATCCTCTGTCATCAGGCCCATACGTGCTTAATATTTTGATGTCTTCTTAGTTAATTTAGAGCACTTTATTTTGTAGTACCTTAATTCTCCCTTATTATTTCCCTTTATCTGAAGTCTGCTTTGATTGAAATTATAATTCTTTGTTCCCTGACCTGTTACACTTAGAGGCAGGGATAATAATATTAATAATATAATATAATATAAAGTTTGTTTGTTATATAAAAAACAAACTCCCTGCTGTGGAGTTGTTTCTGAGTCATAATGACCCCTCCTTGGGTTTCCGAGGAGGTATCGCTACAGAATTAGATTGCCTAGTCTTTCTTCCGAGAAGTGGCTGGTGACTTTGAACCACCACCCTTCTGGTTAGCCTAAGGCATTAGACTGCTAACCAGAAGGCTGACAGTTCAAACCCACCAGGAACTCCGCAGAAGGAAGCCTGAGCAATCTACTTCCCTAAAGATTGACCAATTCAGAAGCTCCAAGGGGGCCACTATGAGTCAGAATCGACGCAATGGCAATGAGTTTGGTTTTTTAGGACATAATGGTACAGAGGCTTTAGAGTCAGGACAATATTGTGGTACAAAGGCTTTGGAATAAGACAGACCTAGATTCAAATACCTGCATGGCATTAATGTGACCTAGGGTGCTTCTTTCCTCTCTGTTAAGTGGAAGGCAATAACAATATCTACCTTATAGGATTCATTTTGCGTATTTGAAGGGAAAGCATGAGAATTGACTCAGGGGAGTCTAGAGTAAGTTTTATTAGTTTTTATCTTAATTTAATTCTTACCTAATTAACACTTGTTTTCTTCAACATGTTGAATTAAAAAGCTTTTAGTATATTACTTTTTCTGGATTTTTATTACCTCGTGAATAATGTGGAATTATTAAGAAACAAAAAAAGAGCTGATTATGCAAATGATTGAAATATTTAATAATACCTTGAAGTAGTCTTAGGAAATTGGAATAAAGAACTTTTCTGTAGTTATACTGGTTTTTCCCAGAGGCATAGGGTATTAAGGAAACAAAAGATAATTTCAGAAAAAGTTTTAAGATGTAGAATGCATTAGAAGAAATACTTCAATAAGTTCTATCATTAATGAATATTCAGAGAGTATACTAACTTCTTCTAAGATACAGTGGCCAATCCAAAGAATTCAAATAAAGAAACAAAGAAAGAATGACCAAATAAGCCTTAAGTAGTTAGAGTCTTTCAAATTCCTTGGTTTGATACATTGAGACAATTCTGTATTATTTTGGGTCCAGGACACAATTGTTTAAGCAGTTGGTATCTTCATTGTCTTTCTCCTAGCCCACTCAGCCCTGTGCCTCCTTCAGCATACCTCTCAAACCTCTCAAATCCGCAGTCTTGGAGGGACCCTTTTGGACACCTGCCCTAGACAAGCCTTGTGCACACTCTCCCACCCTTTCATTCTTGCTCCAAATGCCTGTGTTTATTTATTTAATATAGTCCCTTGAGTTGACTCCTCCTACTGTGGATTAGAATCACTCAGATTCACATTGAGGTCTACTAAGAAGATCTTCCACACTTGGTCTCTCTAAATCGTTTCAACAGTGTAAGGAGTATATTAGAGATGCTTTAACTCAAGAGAACACAGTTGAAATTGGTGGCATTTCACAATAATGGTGGACTTGCTGGATGAGAATTTGGTTTTTCAATCCTGTCTGTGGAATCAGTGACATGAGTTCTCACTTAATGCGCGCACAGCTAGGCCTGGCTAGGATAATCCTTGAATGACTGTTAGCTTAAAATTTGATAAAGGGTTTATAAAGAAATTTACTTGGTTCCAAATACTGTCTAATCAGTGACAGAACTTGAGAGCCAATAGTGTATACAGGTCCCATCCATTGCACAAAGAGCAATGCTGTTGAATACTTCGCTCACACATTCTGGAAAGAGACATACTGAATGACAGTGCATCTTGCTTTTTTTGGTGTTAGAAGCCAAAGTGCTATTTGCTACAAGTAAACTTCTTGACTGTTAACAGGTTGCTTATTTAACATTTGGATGATCTAGGCTAATTGTTTTTCCTCTATTTTCTGAACAAGTAGTTTTGACTTTTTCCCTGATAGTTAAAACAAGTTAGACAAAGGAGACTGAGGGTAAGTAAAAGTCACATCAATTCTGTTGGTGCCTTCCAACTAATTCTGGGAAATGACTAGGTAGGGAGCAGAAAATGAGTTTTTAATTTCATTTTTGGATTTGAATTATCCATGCTTCTAATAGACCCCACCATGCTATATGGTTGAGAATAGTGACACAGTCTGTAATCACTGATTCTGGTCTTCAGTTCTCCCTTAATCTAGGTTAAAATAGAAATGGAAGTTGTGTCATTTTTCATCTTCTTCCCTTCAATTTTAGTTAGATGTTTTTGAACTGCTGTTCACTATTTGTACAATATTGTCACTTGTAATTTGTGCAATTACTACCTACAGGTAGCACAGAATGCCTTCCTCATTGAGCTGTGACCTGGAATCCTATCACATTGCAGATGGCCACATAATATGTATAGTTTATTGTTTTTGCTCAGTACATTTGGTAGAGGCTTTGGCATTAAAAAAAAATAGAGTACATTTGGGGATAAATTAGAGAAAATACTTGTTATTGGTAAATGAGTCTGCCTTTTCCTATTTGACTGATGATTTTATAAATATTCAACTCTCTCTTCCATCTCTCCACTTGTATTTTATTGTTCTACATCCCAATCCTGCAGCTGTTTTTGTCTTGTGTTCTGCTACATGAATAATAGATTTATGAGACTCAAAGGAGCATGGTACTTCAACTCACTGCTCTAAGTAGTAATACAGCTAAGCCATCTGAGTCAACTATTTCTAAATTCCTCCAAGAAAGGAAACTTCATGATTTGGGTCACATGTAACTTCTCTTTTCTTTGTCTCCTCACATCACCTCCTTTCTTCCTTGTGCTTTTGGCAGTTCCTTCATTCATTCAACAAACACTGAAGAACTTTTGATGATGATACCAGTACCCAGGATCTTTTTATTACTGTGGCTTTATAGTATGTTTTGAAATCAAGAAGTGTGAGTCTTCCTACTTTATTTTTCTTCTTAAAGATTGCTTTCGCTCTTCAGGGTCCCTTACTCTTCCATATAAATGAGAGAATTGGCTTTTCCATTTCTGCAAAGAAGGCTCTTAGAATTTCAATGGGGATTGCTTGAGTTAATAGATTGCTTTGGGTAGTATTGACTTAATTATATTAAGCCTTCCTTCATTGTCTTTTTAAGTGTCATCTGATATATCTAATCCAGACCTTCAAAAACATTTATACTTAAAAATTTCAGAGCCACACATTTATCCAAATAAGTTGACAAATTAGAGCAAAATAAGACAGAGTTAAAACATTAGTTATTCATTTGCTTTGGATAGATAGAACAAGTGATATTTTAAAAGGATGTTTGCTTCTCCTATCTTTAATATTAACAGTAGCTGTATTGCCTTTTTACCAAAATGTCTGACAAATTTTCGGGAGATAAATTTTTGTTTATTAAAACTGTTTGTTCTGCTGCTACTTTTGAGCATCACAACTTGGCTTTGTGCAGGCTAATATCCTCCTCTGTAACCTACAGTTACAGTGTAACTGTAGGAGGGATTGGATTTTTCTCCTATAATTTATTGAGACTATCAGCTGGGTAAGACTTTGGAAAAAATTAGTTTCAACTCCTATTTCTAAACGTTTCTATTAGAGAAAAAGAAATTCATTTGTGGAAAGTTTAAAACCAACCAAACTTCTTGAGGGAGAGGGGTCAGTTCTGAGATGATGAGGTACAGCTGAAAGACTGAACACCTGTGAAATCACAGGCAGTAAGATGTACATTTTAAGCAAGCTCTGGTGGCATGGTGCCTAAGGCATTTGACTGCTAACCAGGTGGTTGGCGGGTCAAACCCTCCAGCCACTCACAGAAGGAAGACAGAGCAATCTACTTCTGTAAAGATTTACTGCCTCAGAAACCCAAAGGGGGTCACCATGAGTCGGAATCGATTAGATGGCAGTGAGTTTGGCTTTTGTTTTATTCTTCTTTAGTGTCTTTCATTAAGGGGTCTACTTGGGTGATAATGAAGTTTGCTAAGTATTTTATTTGAAAGGTTGTCTTTTAAAAGTTTACTATTAGAATATTCATAGCAGAAACAATCTTTGATGCTAAGCCATATTTCAAGAACAGCTAGTAATTATAATTTCTGTTCTTTTCATAACATCTTTTACACACATAGACACACACCCTACACAGCAGTGTGCCCAAACTGACTTGTACAGGCTCATGAAAGCCTACTGTTAAATTCTCAGAAGTTTTGCCGGCCATTTGATATCAGATAAGTAGCTTGAAATAGGCCATGATGGGAGTATTTACACCATGGAAAGTGGCATATCAAGGACTTTTTTTTTTTTTTTTTTTTGTCTCTTACAAAGCCGGTTGTGAAACATTTACCAGCCCACCTGTGCTCTGAGATGGTCCTACGACAGTCCTAAGATAGGACTATTAGCATTGAAGATGGTTTTGTCGTGAAGCTTCACTGGAGTAAAGTAAACTACTCTCTCTCCGTGTGTTTTCAGGGATTAGGAAAGACCGGAGAGGAGGGAGAATGTTGAAGCACAAACGGCCGAGAGATGATGGGGAGAGCAGGAGTGAAGCGGGACCCTCCGCAGACATGAGAACAGCCAACATTTGGACAAACACCCTCTTCATTAAGCACACCAAGAAGAACAGCCCGGCCTTGTCCCTGACAGCCGATCAGATGATCAGTGCCTTGTTGGAGGCAGAGCCTCCCTTAATCTATTCTGAGTACGACCCGACTCGGCCCTTCAGTGAGGCTTCCATGATGGGCTTATTGACCAACCTGGCAGACAGGGAGCTAGTTCACATGATCAACTGGGCCAAGAGGGTACCAGGTAAGAACGTGATGCTTCAACTGTCATTTTAAGAGTCAAAAGCATTTCATTACTGGTTAGGATGTCATGGAAGAAATTGTGGGAAGCAATAGCTTTTTATTTAATTGGCTTCAAAGAAACATCAGAATTGGCTAATTTTTCAGTATTAGCATGCATACTGTCATACCCTGGGAAATTAATATTTTTAAATAAAAATTCTTCTAGAAATTAAAATCTTTGACATGACATGACATGATTTGGTTATTTTTAACCCATTTTATTCACCAAAAAGATTTGAGGTGGATACTACATAATGAATGGATTTATCATTATATACTCATGGTGTCAGAATTTTAAACAATTGAAATATCTCTGCTCCACAGAACTTTTTAATATCTAGGACCTTTTTCCAATAATTTTTCTTTTTTTAAATAAACAATTTCACCATAAGAAATCTTTTCTTTTAAACTGTCTGTGGACTAAATAGATAATTATACTTTTCTTTTTTTTAATGACAATTATTTATCCAACCCTGTCCATTTAGTATTTTAAGAGAAAGGGAACTACAATAGAAACGTAAATTAGATACTCAGCCCTCTGAGGAGCTATGGCAAAATATGATGGCTGAAGTGACTCTTTGGTTCTTCTGTTGAGTCTCTCAGAACTGCTGTTTCTGTCAAACTTGACTATTGGTCTTGTTTAGGAAGAAAAACTAGTTATTATGGACACAAGAGTAGGAAATGACCTTTTCCATGACCCACCATATCCATTCCTACTAACGTAGCTAATGTAGATGATCCAAGGCAGGATGAAAGTAAAGCTTTGATCTGGATTTATAGATCAAATGAGTGATGGGGTTACATATTTTCTCTTGGTTTCTTTTAATAGATGAAATTAATTATTACTAATAAAGCATGGACTATTGTTAATGTAGAGTTTTGTACTTTTATTTCATGGGTCATTGATAGGTTCTAGGCTGAGTGAACATGGTTCTGGCCTGAGAAAATATTACATGTATTTGCATATGTCAACACATAAAAGAGTAATTTTTCAAATAAGAAGCAACAGTGTGGTCATCTAAACTTAATAAAGGGTATTCATGTACGGAGTGGAGACCTGGTTAGCTAGAGGCATGCATATGAATAGGTGAATCTAGATTTTCAGAGTCAATCCAAGTGGTAAGCAAAGACTTCTGACCATCTTTTGTATTCAGGTTTGTTGAACACATATATTTTAGTGTTCTCATGTCTAGCAGATCCATGATAATCCAATATGGGAATGTAAAGTTAAGATGGCTAGAGCTTTTATTTTTATCTTTATATCTATTATTTCTTTTTAAATAAATACTTTTGGAAAACAAACAAAACAAAATAACTCATGGCCATATCCCAGAGAGCTGACTCTTAATTGCTGTGTAAATTTTTCTATAAGCATATATGAAGTCTTTGCAGTATTAGTTCCAGAGCACTGCTGAACCCAAGTACATGAATATATGTTCTGATTAACCAGAAGATTCCAATGACATTTGTATACTTATACAAATTTGAAGAACATTTGAATGAGGAGGAATTAAGCTCAGATACATTATCAGTAGATAAAGAGTTCATGGCAATAATCTCTGAATTCAGGAACAAAATAGAGACAGAAATCAAGGGAAGAAAAATATTATGTCCATGCTTAGCCATTCTCCTTGTTGAACCCAGAACTAAGCAAATTTATGGTAATGAGATGTGTAGCAAAGCTAATCTATAACTTGATTATGTTAATTTAAAAGACTCAGATAATTCCAGCATCATCAGGCCAAAACAGTATCTTGTTACTTGCTGATTTTTTTATTTTAAAAAAGAATTATAAACACAAAAATGAAAAATAAAAATGTGTGTACCATTAGAACACAGCTGTTATAAATCAAAAGCCTACTTGTTCCAAATAGCATAAAATGAAAATAGCCACTGATTTAAAAAAGATGAAAAATGAGGAAAGAAAAACATCTTCTGGAAAAATATGAAGATGATTGTCAAGCTTTTCAGAGAAGTTGACAGAGTCACATTGTGAAAAGCTTTTACATATCCAAATACCATCTGTCATTTTGAAAAGCAGACCACCATGAAAATCTAATATGACAATGTTGCATTTATATTGTAATAGGCGAATAATAATAGTGATTGAGAAAGAGAAGGAATAGAAAACATCATTCATGAGAAAGCATCATTCATGAGAAAGCATCAAGCTCTAGTGTTGTTGTTAGTTGCGTATGTGTTTGCTGAAACTCACGATGACTTTTGGTACAGCAGAATGAAGCTCTGCTTGGGCCTGTGCCATCATCATGACTGTTTGTATATTTGACTACATTGTTGCAGTTATTGAGTTAATCCTTCTAATTGAAGGTTCCCCTCATTTGTATTGGCCCTCTACTTTACCAAACATGATACTTTTCGTAGCAATTGATCTTTCCTGATGACATGTCCAGTGTAAGTGAGTTGAAGTCTCACCATCCTTGCTTCGAAGGAACATTCTGGTTGTATTTCTTCTAAGACGGATGTGTTCTTTTTTCTAGCAGTCCATGGGATAGTCAATATTTGTCATCAATAACACAGTTGTAGTGTATCAGTTCTGCTTTACTTTTTCATTATCCAACTTTCACATGCATATGATTAGCTATATGATACAAAAACTGGTATAGGACATTTTGATAATCTTCATAGTGTGTATCAATATAACAGAAATTGAGAACTGACTTCAATTGGGATGATGAATCTTAATAAATGTAATCAATACTTCGAATAATTTTAGTAGCTCTAGAAATTAAAAAAAAAAAAAAAAAACTAATAGAATATTGCCAGAATTTTCAAATGTTGATTATAAATTGATTTTTCCTTTATCTTAACATCTGGGGCACGCTTTTTGATCTTTCTGGAGTCAAAATGAAAGGAGCATTAGGGTGAAATGCACTATGCAAATGTGATAGTCAAGTTCCAATCTGAAAAGTACTGATATTACACCTGGCAAAAGAGGAGACATCTTCCAACAATTCTGAAGATGGCATAGCCCTGGGCAACCTTCTGATGTCTTATATGTAAGTTAGACAAATTCACTATGAGTTGGAGCTGAGTCAACGACAACTAACAGCAACAACAAAACATGACATCAAGAAATTATTTTTTTCCCTCGGCGACTTAAGAGCAACCACAGCAAGGAGACTGAGAAAGCCTTTGTATTTAGTACTGAAAAGGGATGCTTTTGTATAACCTGTGTTACAGATCTGCTTTCTAGTATCTTGGTTTAGAGAAGGGTTTTCCCTTCATTGTTGGCTGTGAAATTTGTTAATCTTCAAAAGGCATTTTACATAATCTATCTACAGATGGATGTTTAGTTTTAAAAGAGTTAGGTCATTAAAATGGAATTTACTGTTATTTTATCCATGGCGAAACTAGTCAAGAAATGCAACATCATTTAACTGAGGGTTGAGAAAAGAACAAAATATGATGGCAAAAGTTGTTGTATTTTCACTTTTCCCATCACACTCAATTGCTTTATTGAGTGGTTGAGTCTTAGCTTCTGAGTTAATGGAGTACATTTGATTTTTTTCCACGCAAAGCTGAATCATATCATCAAACCATTACTTTATTAACAAGTTAATCTGTTTCAAATCCACTATAGTTTTACATAGCTCAAGTGTAATTTGACAATTCACATTTGTGTTTTAGTATTATATAATTAATTAGCATTTTGATGACTATCTGGCTCTAATTCTTTATTGTTTGAGAATTATGGACTGATAATAAGCCTGCAGCCTCATCAGTCTTTGGACATCTTCTGAGTGGGTTTGCTGTCGGTGCTGGTCTGTTGTTGTTGTTTGCCATCGAGTTGGACACTAGCGACCCCTCCTTGGGTTTCCAAGGCGTTATCACTACAGAAGTAGATTGCCCAACCTTCCTTCCGAGGAGTGGCTGGTGGGTTTGAACCGCCAGCCTTCTGGTTAGCAGTCAGGTGCCTTAGGTGCTGGTCTAGGAAGGAGAATAAAAAGTCAGCAACTACCAGGTTTGGTTTCATGGGAAACATTCCACTTTAACCACTTTCTCATTCTTTTTAATGGAAACTAAGTGACTCTTCTCCTTCTGCTTTCCTGCCTGAGTCCTTGTCAGCTCAACACTACAAGGGTCTTCTCTTCCTCTTTGTCCCAATGCCCTACCATTTCTATTGGCATTTGACTGCTAACCAGAAGGCTGGAGGTTCAAACTCACCAACCACTCCTTGGAAGGAAGACTGGGCAATCTACTTCCATAGAGATATTTCCTCAGAAACCCAAGAAGGGGTTGCTGTGAGTCAGATCTGACTTGAAGGCAGTGAGTTTGGTTTTGGTTTTGGTTCTGCTTAGGTTCAGCCCAGGGATAGAAGATCCACTTTTCTGGGCATGCCTCCACATGCCCCAAGCTCAACTTTCTCAGAAGCTTCTTGTGCCATGTCAGAGAGTTAGGTCTGGGCCGTTCCAGAGCTCGAGGCCACCTCTGCCCCAGTGTTCTTCAAGAATCCAATAATCAACTACTTTGAGTATACTATTCATCCTCCTCATTAAGAGTATCAGTGACCTAAGCTCTGGACTTGCTTGTTGAATGAGTACATGAATGAAAGGTGACTTTGGAAACTCCTAATTTTAAGACATCTCTGAGTCCAGTTTTTCAATAAACTTGAGCTTATTTTTAAGGCTGCAGTGTTATTCCTTTTTATCTCTCTTCAGAGTGTGTTGCCATTCTGATACTTCTTTGGCAGCTGCCTTCGTGAGACTTCCCTTTCTTTAACTTTTCTTTTGTAAGGGGCAGAGTAATGTCCAAATTATATGAGCTCAGAACTTTAAAAGAGTTCAGTTTGCTATCATCATGCAAGTTTCACTTAGTGAGTGTCACTTAAAACCTAAAATGAGTAGGGACAGCAGGGCAGGGAGAGGACAAAATACCTCCATCTGGGATTTGGAAGCATCTCTAAGGAACACATTCTGTTCTGGGTGTTGGCTGAGGATTCAC